CTATCTATCTATCTAAAATGTATATAGCCACCATACAACCACTTTTGTTGTGGTTTTTAAAATTTTTATAATTATATATATATATTACATTTTTATTATTGTTTTATGAGTTGGCCAGAGTTGTGGTATATAAAAAGGGTAGCTATAAAAATCTTTTAAATAAGTACACAAATAAAGCTACACCTGATGTGTTAAGTCTCCAGTTGTCTGCAAGCTTGCTCCTTCCTGGTACATGTGGCTAGGATTGATCGAAATTGTATCCCAATCCCTTCGGCACTATGATATTGGGAAAGACTTACTGTGGCACAATCCCATCCACATGAACCTTATCTAATAAAATATGAAGCTAGAAATACTTATACTGCATAATATACTATCACTGCTTTAAAAAAGATTGTAATTGTAGGTTCTGTGCATGAATGGTTTGTCAGTACAAGACTCTGGGCATAAAGACATACACGCAGATGGCTATACACAGTCATTCGCTACTTTTCCTAATAATCATTTCCATAACAAATGTTTTGCCACTTGATCAGCCTTCAATTCTAGGCATTTGGCAAGAACTGTATGTGAAACACATGGCTAAACAAACACCCACCAGCAGCAAAAACAGAGAAGGATGCATAATACAAAATGTGTTTTAAACAGAGAATGAAGAATACTTTACCAAGAGGAACAAATAAAAACGTGTCAGATACCTCATAAAAATAGGAGTAAAGGTCATAATTTGTAGACCTGCTACACTGAAAACATTACTGATGATTTGGATGATCAACAGATGACTAAAGTCAAGAATTTCTTCAATGCAATAGCCTAGGTCAAGATAAGTTTGCATAATCTTCAAAGGATGAAAACTGGAAGTGGGCAATTGAAGAGGAATCTGAAAATAAATCTGCTATGGGTTGTGCTTAGTGACTTAATTTTTTTCTAACAATTACTAATTTACATCATGACTCTGAATTTATTGAGGATAAGTTGTTTGTATTTAAATATTTGTTACAGTTGAATCAGAACAGCTTCAGAACAGCAGTCCAACATGTGATTGATTCGCTCACTGAAACCAGTATTGTCTTGGATAAAGTTGAATACTTCAACCATCAAGTTTCATGGGACTATATTTTATTGGAACATTTAATAATAGTTCCAAATGAGTTTTTCTTCTACTGATTTTCCTTCTGACATAATGAAAAAATGTAAATATTTGATTTGTACCTGTTACAGTCAAAAGAGACTTTCATCAGTTTATATACATTAGTAAAAATAACAACAAAATATCCACAAAAGGCAAAAACAGCCAGCAAATAAATGTAATATTAATAGTTATATGAATTATATAAACCATCAATACCAATATCTTCAACTCCTCCTGCTCTTCCCTACCATCACTCTCTGGAAATACATATAGATTTTAATTTTTTTCTTGAAAATCACTGAAAGTCATGGGATTATGGCAAGTTATAAATTCAAAATAACCTCAACACTGGCCATGAAAAGTCAATACTTGATTTTCAGTGTTTTAATATTTGAAGGTTTCCACGAGGAAGAGGGGCTCAGTCTATTCTCCAAAGCTAAACCTAAAGCCAGGAGAAGAAGCAATGAATGGAAACTAATCAAAGTCTGAATCAAGCTAGAACTAAGGAGAACAATTAACCAGTGGCTTGCCTTCAGACGTTGTAGATGCTCCATCACTGGAGATTTTAAAGAAAAGATTTGGCAGTTATTTGTCTGAAATGAAATAGGGGGCCCTGCTTGGGCAGAGGGTTGGACTAGAAGACCTCCACGATCCCTTCTAAGTCTGTTATTCTGTTACAATATTTCTTTGACAATGTGCTATGCTAATCTATCAAAATAGCCAATCTGGTTCTAAACAAAATTGTTGGACAACAGTTCACGGACACAATAAAGGAGATGATGTAATGACACTTTGCCTCCCAAATGCTACCACATAAACTCATACTTGTGTGTGTGGCTAGACTCCATTAGATTTATTTTTTATTTTACTCCACTGGCACTTGAGCTGTTACCTCTTTTGATGGCTTGAGATCCTCAGTGAATCAAGATCCCAATTAGGAACAACCATTACGTATATTCATGAATGAAGGCAAATTACTCATGTTATCCCAATTATCCACCCAAAAATTATCCACCTGACAAACTGTAATGGTATACAAGAATGACCTTGGGAGACAGAAGAAAGAGCCGCAGACTAGACAATAGTCAGACAAGCAATAATTGAGTCCACAGAATGACTATGGGCAAGGCAAAGGTCTCAAAAGGTCAATTTCTTGGACTGTAAAAGTTAGAGAGGAAGAGTTGTACTTGCAAGATTCTGATAGTGTACAAGTAATCCTCAACTTACAAGATTCATTTATTAACCTTTTTCAGTTACAATAAATCCAGTCCTCACACATATGGCTACACCATGCCCATAGCTATTAGATCAAAATTCAGGAGCTTGGCCACTGGTCTCTTTTTACAATGGTTGCAGCAATTCAGAGTCATTGGATCACTATTTGCAACTTTCCCACCAGCTTCCGAGAAACAAAGCCATAGGGAGAAATTGGATTTGCTTAACAATCACATGACTCATTTAACGAGCGCAATGATTTGCTTAACAACCTTGTAAAAAAAAAAAGGTTTTAAAATTGAGTGCAACTCACTTAACCTCTGCCTTATTTAGCAGTGGAAATTCTGGTCCCAATTTTGCTCATAAGTTGACTACCTGTAATAAACCTAGTTTTGAAGATGCACTTTTTAAACG